AAACAGATAAGTTTTAGGGGACAATAGAAGATGAGCACGTGAGACAAGATAAGCTGGAGAAAGTTGGCACGTGACTATTCAAAACATGCAAGCTGCATTTTTGTACCTGCATGAGAACATGCAGTTCCTTTTTCAGTCTCCTTTTGTTTTCTTTCCACACGTGTATGGCTAGGATGAGATGTTTATTTTGTGTGGCTTAGATAACATTGGTTGAAGGGTTTTCATGCTATATATATGTAAACATTATAGTGCAGCAGTAGTTGAGTGAAATACACACCATTTTCCCTTAGCTCCTATTTCATTGATTACCTCGAGCTCAAATATGGCTGCAACATTTATTGTGATGATTTCTTTATTTTTCTATCATGGTATCAGAGCAGGGTGATCCTGTCTCTGATATTATTTTATTTTTTATTCTTTCCTTTCTTTTTTCTTTTCCTGAACTGAAACATGGCCGATTCAACCTCATCAACCTCAGATCTGAGATCTACAGGCCCTTCTTCACAGATGCAAGTGATATATCCTCAGAGTCAACTAATCCGAGGTCGATTACACTATAATTTAGCGAGATTGTACTAATTCGACTTCAATTGGACTAATTCGAGGTCGATTACACTATAATTGACCGAGATTGTACTAATTCGACTTCAATTGGACTAATTCGAGTTCGATTACACCATAATTAACCGAGATTGTACTGATTTGACTTCAATTGGACTAATTTGACTTCAATTGGACTCATTCGAGTTCGATTACACTATAATTGACCGAGATTGTACTAATTTGACTTCAATTGGACTAACTCGAGGTTGATTACGCTATAATTGACCGAAATTGTACAAATTCGATTTCAATTGGACTAATTCGAGTTCGGTTACACCATAATTGACCGAGATTGTACTGATTTGACTTCAATTGGACTAATTCGAGTTCGATTACACTATAATTGACTGAGATTGTACTAATTTGACTTCAATTGAACTAATTCGAGGTCGATTACACTATAATTTACCGAGATTGTACTAATTTGACTTCAACTGGACTAATTCGAGTTCGATTACACTATAATTGATTGAGATTGTATTAATTCGACTTCAGTTGAACTAATTCAAGGTCGATTACATTATAATTTAGCGAGATTGTACTAATTTGACTTCAATTTGACTAATTTGAGTTCGATCACACTATAATTGATCGAGATTGTACTAATTCGACTTCAATTGGACTAATTCGAGTTTGATTACACTATAATTTAGCGAGATTGTACTAATTCGATTTCAATTGGACTAATTCGAGGTCGATTACACTATAGTTGACCGAGATTGTACTAATTCGACTTCAATTGGACTAATTCGAGTTCGATTACACTATAATTGACCGAGATTGTACTAATTCGACTTCAATTGGACTAATTCAAGGTCGATTACACTATAATTGACCGAGATTGTACTAATTCGACTTCAATCGAACTCGAGTTAGTCCAATTGAAGTCAAATTAGTCCAATTGAACTTCGAGTTCGATTGAAGTCAAATTAGTACAATCTCGGTCAATTATAGTGTAATCGACCTCGAATTAGTCCAATTGAAGTCGAATTAGTACAATCTCGATCAATTATAGTGTAATCGACCTCGAATTAGTCCAATTGAAATCGAATTAGTACAATCTCGGTCTATTATAGTGTAATCGAACTCGAATTAGTGCAATTGAAGTCAAATTAGTACAATCTCGGTCTATTATAGTGTAATCAAATTGAATTAGTGCAACTGAAGTCAAATTAATACAATCTCGGTCAACTATAGTGTAATCGACCTCGAATTAGTCCAATTGAAGTCAAATTAGTACAATCTCGGTCAACTATAGTGTAATCGACCTCGAATTAGGGAGCCGACGCTCGGTATTACCCTGTTGGGATCCTTTTAGTTTCTTAGTTTTTTAGTGTTTTCGTGTGTTAGTTGTTTGTGTTCGTATGTATTAGCCCGTGGGGATCATCGGCTCCAGGCAGTCATTGACTGTCCTCCCACTCTATTCAGCTGTTGGCTGATTCTATTCAGCTGGTGGTTGAACCTTTCTACAATGGTGTTATTTATATATAAAATCTCTATCGTTTCGAAAAAAAAAGGAAGTCAAATTAGTACAATCTCGGTAAATTATAGCGTAATCGACCTCAAATTAGTTCATTTGAAGTCAAATTAGTACAATCTCGGTCAATTATAGTGTAATCGACCTCGTATTAGTCCAATTGAAGTCGAATTAGTACAATCTCGGTTAATTATAGTGTAATCGACCTCGAATTAGTCTATTTAAAGTCAAATTAGTACAATCTCAGTCAATTATAGTGTATTCGACCTCGAATTACCCGAATTGAAGTCAAGTTAGTACAATCTCGGTCAATTATAGTGTAATCGACCTCGTATTAGTCCAATTGAAGTCGAATTAGTACAATCTCGGTTAATTATAGTGTAATCGACCTCGAATTAGTCCATTTGAAGTCAAATTAGTACAATCTCGGTCAATTATAGTGTATTCGACCCCGAATTACCCGAATTGAAGTCAAATTAGTACAATGTTGGTCAATTATAGTGTAATCGACCTCGAATTAGTTCAAATGAAGTAAACAAAAAATTTTTTAAAATTAATTAAAAAATAATTAAAAAATAAAAACAGATTTTTAAAATCCGTTTTTAAGTTTTTTATTATTATTATTAATTAAAAAATAAATAAAAATAAATAAAAAATAAAAACGGATTTTGAAAATCCGTTTTTTAACAAAAAAAAAATAAAAATAAAATAATAAATAAACAAAAACGGATTCTCGGAATCCGTGTTTCAAGGAAAAACGGATTTTGAGAATCCGGCTGTTTGATTTTTTTCCAGATAACTTTTTTTTGATTTATTTTTGTCCACGCATTATTTTTTTTTTAATTAAATAAATGATTCAGAAAACAGAAGTCATGATTTCGTTTGACTTTATTCTTATGTTTATTTTAAATTAATCTAGTACTGGATTCGTTGAATTTGTAGTATTATTAGCCAAATAAAACCTATATGACTTCAGGCAAGCTTAGCTATGTAGGCCCAGACTATCTCAAAAGTTTGTTGCTTATTTTGTATTAATTAGGGTGTTACTATTTACCGCCTCTATTTTACTATTCACCGTTCCTCATGGACAATTTTGCCTTTTTCATTTTTTCTAAACATCTCAGAGGAAAGTGTACGGTGAAATGTCGTCAAATTCGGAGGTACGAAAAATTTGGTGTCCGGCCGCCGGAACCGGACGGCTTTTAGGTCGTCCGGCCACCGGAACCGGACGGTTTTGAAGCCGTTCGGCCGGTCGGTCCGGACGAGCTAAAAGTTGTCCGGAAAGTACGGCCGGTCGGACCGGCCATGTCCGAACCGGCCGGACGGACGGCTAAAAAGCCGTCCGAAAACGACGCCGGTTCGACCGGCCGGACGTAATTTTATTTATTTATTTATTTATTTTAAATTATTATGTTATTTATTCGAAATAATTATGTTATAAATTGGACTATATTATTATGTTATAAATTATTATGTTACATTTTAGACTTGATTATGCTATAAATTGGACGTTTATCGTGTTAGGAGTTACAAATTATTATGTTACATGTTGATTATAAT